CCACACACACACACACACACACACACACACACACACACACACACTGGAGAAATAGTGGTAGAGTGGCCACACAAACACACACACACACAACACTCTTCAGTCTGGAGATACTTTTTAAAAGCACACAAAGAAAAATATACATGCTTATGCTCTTTCCCTAAATATGGTTCTAAACACACATGATCTGAACAAATTGCAGCCCTGTAAAGAACACTGTGGACTGAGAAAGATGACAGTCAACTGCAGGGGAAATACAGTATTTATTAAGTTTTGAAAGGCAGACATCTTCAGAATTCAGCTACTAGAGTTTCATTTCACAAACTCCTAAATACCGCTTGTCACATGCCAGACACCACTTAAAAATAATGCGTGTAATTCCTATAACCTTATGAAGTACCCTTATTGCCCTTGAGAAAACTGAGGTACAAAAAGACTGGGTGTCAGAATTCAAATTAAGGGGGCCTGCCTCCTCTGTCCAGCTCTTAATCCACTGCTACGCCCTAAAAACATTATTCAAGTATTAGCTTCTCAAGATAGATGCACCCCCATGTTCACGCAGTGCTATTCACAACAGTCAAGACAAGGAATCATCCCAAGTGCCTGATGATGGATGGGTGGATTAAGGACATGTGGCATGCATACCCAATGGAATACTTCCAGTGACTGAAGAAAATAAAAAATGAACTCCCGCATTTCCAACAGCATGGATGGAACCAGAGGGAATTATATGTGAAGTGAAATAAATCCAATGGAGAAAAGGCATATTCTAATTCATTTGTGGAGTAGTGGAATATTAAGGGAAAAGGCAATCAAACAAACAAAATAAACCATAAAACTCTGACAACAGAATGGTGGTTATCAGAGGGGAAGGTGGGAGAGAAAATGGGGTAAGGGACTGACCGGTGGGTGGTGCGATGATGATGGGTATTTGATATGAGCAAGGTGTGGTAAGTACAGTTGTTCAGGTGAAAAACTATACCTGAAACCTATACAGTATTGTAAACTCAAGTTGCCTTGATTAAAAAAAAAAAAAAAGTATTAGCTTCTCAGCCTTTTTTTTTTTTTAAAGATTTATTT